TTTTGTACCTTTTACTTATACTTTTATAATGGCTATTATTGATAAAACTGAAATTCAACAAAAATAGATAGTTTTGTCATTTATTTTATTTTATTACAAGATCATCTGTAATGTTGTTTATTGCAACATTTGTACCGATGCAATATGCAATAGACATTGCCTGGGATATGTTTAATATTTTTAAATTTAAACGAAAAGAGGCAGGGTTGTGTTTTATATTTAGTTTTGTTATAAATATAACGTTACATACATGCAGTGAATATAATCAATAGGCTATGCGTTGCCTGAACCACATTTGTGTGCTTATAATGTTTAAAATGTATTTAAATTAAATCGAAAAGAAGCAGAGTGGTGTTTTATAACATATTTCGTTTTATTGTTGCCTAAAATGTACATAACCGGAGTAGCAGAGCGAGCTGAGTGGCGCTTTCAAGAACGCGCTGTTCCATCAGCAGAATTACTGGACTCGCGTCCTCGGGAGTCATTCTCCTGAGTCGGACTTTGCGTGGCTACTTGGTATTGAGAAACGCGTAATGCCAGCGCTTGTTTCTTGTGACAAACATGCCGAGAAGCAAGAACAAGATCTGCTGTCTGATCCATTGTTGTTTACTATGTCGCTTTCTGACGTCGATCGCTTTTTTCCGGCAAACACCACGCCTATCAAGTAAGGGTACTGTTGGCAGTGGAAACGCTAGCCGGATCATGCTGTACCGACCCGACCCGACCCGACCCGACCCGACCCGTACTGTACTGTACCGTACCGTACGCCTCAGTGGAAACGAGCCATAAGAACTCACAAAGACTGAACTAGACACAGGGCTTAAATACATACAGGACTAACGACGAGACAAGGGACACCTGTGAACATTTAAACAATCAACCAATGACAATATGGCACAACCGACAAGGGAACACAAGGCAAGATCACATGACTAGAACAGGGGATCACATGAGACAAGAACCAGGAACAAGAAACAAAACCCAAACCGTGACAACTAATAATTTTCTAAGATTTACAGAATTTATTTAAGACTTTATTTCATAATTTATCATTTAATACTTTTTAAATATTTCATTTATTTTATTTAAATAATATTTATATTAAAAGTATAAAATACTTTTAAATGTAATATAGTAATACACTCTCATTCAAAAGTTTAAGATCGATTAAATTTTTAATGTTTTTTGAAATAAGTCTCTTATGCTTTCGATTATTTCTTAATCCAAAAATACAGTAAAAAATATCAGTATTTTGAAATATTATTACAATTTGAAATAACTGTTTTCTATTTGAATATATTTTAAAATGTAATTTATTCCTGTGATACAAATCCGATTTTTTAGCATCATTAGTCTAATCTTCAGTGTCACATGATTTTTCAGAAATTATTCTTATATGCTGATTTGCTGCAAGAAACATTTCAGATTTTTATCAGGATTCTTTGGTGTATAGAAAAAAAACTATCAATATCTTTTGTATCATTATAAATGCCTTTACTATAAGTTTTAACCTATTTAAAGCATCCTTGCTGAATAAAAGCATAAATTTCTTTAAAAACATTTTTTTTACTGAAACCAAACTTTTGAATGGTAGTGTATCACAGTAATGCATATGAGATTTATTCGCATCACAGTAATTAGAATTGCTCTCAAAAAAATGGACTTTTCATCAAGCACAATATCATTTCTTTTTTTTCTTTTCTTTTTCATTTAAACAAACCTTCTTAATGGGTCACACTTGCAAAGCATTTGTTGTGTTTGTGTTATCAGTCAGAATTACCTCCATTACCTCTTCGGTGACCGACATCTCCTCTGATCTCCATTAACCTGATGAGGTCTCTTGCACGAGCATTGGCCCGCTGCCATCATTGATTGATATGGTCGCCCCTCTGCTTACCGGGAACCATAAACACTGTTACAATTCACAAGTCAGCCATCCATCCCTGACTACATGGACGTGCTGCCTCACCCAAGCACAGCTATGGTGTTATACAAGAACATTGCCATTAAAATGCAACTAATAAACATAGGAAGGAAAACTTTCACTTTATTGCAATGGTCCACTTTAGACATCCAACTAAGTATCTTTGCAAATACATATCAACTACCAGTCATTAGAGTTTTAGTAGACAATCTAAATATCTGCTAATTCTTTATTTTTATGGTCCCCCAACAGACATTCTACTGACTGTAAGTAACTTTGAAACTACAGGGGTTGGACTGAAACCGAAACACCTGTTTTTAGACCACAATAATTTATTATTATGGTGTAGGGCCTCCTTTTGCAGCCAATACAGCATCACTTGGTCTTGGAACAGACAGATACAAGTCCTTCACAATGGCCTGAGGGTTTTGAGCCATTTCTCTTCCAGAACATTGGCCAAGTCACTTGGTAATCCTGGTAGAGGAAAATGTTTTCTGACTTGCTCCTCCAAAATACCCCAAAGTGGCTCAAAAATATTTAGATCTGGTGACTGTGCATGCCATGAGAGATGTTCAACTTCACTTTCATGTTCATCAAACCATTCTGTCGCAAGTCTTGCTGTGTGTATTTATGGATTATCATGCTGATACACGGCACCCCCTTCAGGGTACAATGTTTGAATCATTAGGTGCACATGGTCCTCCAGCATGGTTCGGTAATACTTGGCAGAGATGCGCCCATCAAGCACAGTAGGGAATGCCAAGATAGTGCAGCCCAAACTATCACTGATCCTCCCCTGTGCTTCTCTCTGGGCACGCAACAGTCCGAGTGTTAAGCCTCTTTGTGGCTTCTCCACAATGTAACTCTCCCACTGATGTGGGAGAGACAATGAAAGTGGACTCATCAGAGAACAATACACGTTTCACATTGTCCACAGCCCAAGATTTGCACTGTTGGCACCAATGAAATCGACATTTGGTATTGGCACAAGTGACCAAAGGTTTGGCTATAGCAGCCTGACCATGAATATTGACTTTGTGGAGCTCTCGGCAAACAGGAGAGTCCATGTGCGCATTTAATTTTGCTGTGAGTTGGGCAGCTCTATGATTTTGGATACAATCCGGGTTATTACCTGGACATCCCTTTTAGACAGCTTCCTTTTGCTTCGACAGTTGCTTCTGTTGGATGTGGTTCGACCTACGTGGTGGTATGCCGACATTACCCTGGATACCATAGCTCTCGATACACCACAAAGACTTATTGTCCTGGTCACAGATGAGCCAGCTACTACAATCTACTACAATCTACTAATACTCTAATGAGAGTTAGTTGACATGTAGTTGCAAATTTCCTTATAGTTAGTAGGATGTCTAAAGTGGACCATCGAAATAAAGTGTACCCAACTTTCTTCCTGGTCTCATGGAGGTTATACATATTAGATCTACTGGACAGCCATAGATTCTGGAACATAAGCATAGTCAATAATGCCGAATGCCTCACAGTTTTAGCATATTTAGAGATGAGCAAGTCCAGTTTAAAGAGGTTTTTTTTTTCTTTTTCGGTTTGTCATTTCCCTGTAAAGTCTTTTAAAATGGTCCATGTTGTCAGTAGTTATAAATAGCACTAATTTTATGCAGAATTACTTTGGTTTTCTGTATAATTCAGCCCTTAGGGTGTTGTGAACGTGTAATTGACAGACGTTTTCCATGAATGTTTCAGCAAGTGCATTTTAAAGTCATTTCCACAAGGACACATTTTGTGTGACTGCAAATCTGCAAATATTGAGCATTGTTTTTGATTGCACTATGATGAATACAGTGAAATGAGAAGTAGGCCGGAGATTCACGTGCATTATCAGTAAAATCCACCTGTGTGATGCAGACTATGTAATGTTTGAATGCAGAACACCTGCATCTCATTGGCTCATCTGCTCTCATGCCTCTGATGTGGCGAGAGGCTTGTATTGAATTTGCCATCATCATTAGTCAAGTGACTCCTCAGTCAAGACCTTTTCAGAGGCTGAGCACGCTTGACAGAAAGCTCGCTGTGCAATGGCAGATAAAATCACCCAACCATGGCACGAAAACAAAGCTGTCAAGTCAGTTCTCTAAATCAAGTGAACCTGTGTTAAAAACACAAAACATACAACCATATATACTGTATACAAAAGTGATGTTCAGAGGGGATATTTGTTTTTAATGACCCTACAAGTTCAATTAAACCATCAAAATATGAGGACAATATGTTATAATTTCTTTTTTTTTTAATTTGTTATACAAAAATATATTTGTATGACAGCCTGGACAAAAAATTATGTCCGCACAATTTGACTTGTTTCATTGCGTTACACTTATCAAAAATAAATTGACTCCAATAAAACAATTTAGTAAATAATAATAATATGTAATAATAAATAAAATGTAATGAGAGAAAAGTTTACTCAGGGTTGGACGTCATAAAATGTGTCTATTTAATTAACAGAAATAATACAAAATATTTGTCCCTATGACACAGGGATTATTTATCTCTTTTACCGTATTTTTGACAAACATCACAGGTCATTGTGTCACTCAAGATCTGTACTGCATCATGTACAGGATGAGTCAGTCTCCATCGCTCTGTAAATCTGCAAATGTCAAAAACATAAGTACACTGTAATTTTATTCATTATTTTTGTTCTTTTCTTGAAAAAAAAAAAACTTTCGGTATCCTAGATGCACTTTTTAATTTCCACTAAGGTAAAAGTTGTTAGAAGTTACACAAGTCACTGATGTGTTCTTTACTTTGCAATTCAACTTACTTTTTAATACTGACTAAATGGATATTGACTGTTTTATTCACTCAAACTCGAGTTTTATTTGCAGTTGGTTGGCTTGGTGAATTTTTGACCCTGCATATGAATAATAAATTTATTTTTTGTATAATAAACTTTCAATTCAGAAGAGTTTAGTATTTGCAATGCAACTAAATATTTCATAGAGGCATTACTGGTTGATTCTGAGTCTTCAGTACTTCCTGTTCCTGTCATATGCAGCATATCCTGTTCACTGACAGTGATGCTGTGTGTCTCTTACAGCTGGATGCTGAGGCCAGTGGTTTGCTCAAAGAACTTCAGAATAAGCTCAATACGGTGCTGGATGAGCTCAGCGCGGTCTTCGGCTCCAGGTGAAGTATCAGGGAACAATGGGTAAAGTTGTTGAGCCGGTGTAAATATAATTATATTTTGGTAACACTTTACTTAAAGCCTTAATGTATAATGCATTATATCTTTTCATAAATAATTGTAACCAAATGCATTATAATATTTGCAGTTGTTTGTCGTGTTTTAATGAAGGTGTAACAATGAACAGATAAGTATTATAATGTATTATAACTGTGGTTATAATCTTTCATGAGATCATACAATTCATTATAAGGCACATTACACGGCATAGTTAAAGGACAAGTTATAAGTTACAAGGTATTTTACACTTAAAGCCCTGTTTCAAGATCGTTTCTGATGAAATAGAACGGTTAAGATTAAAATTTGGACACATGCTGCTGTCCCGAGAAATTTCGGTTTCTGTGGTACGTCAGCAAAGATGAAGAAAGTTAATGCATTTAAATGAATAACGGGAAATCATTCTAGGAATCATTCATAATTAGACCTGTGACATTTATGGACAAAGTAAATAGCATCCATTTTACGTTTGTTTCATGTTGCCTTCCGTGATTAAAAAGAATAGACATACAGACGATTAATGATAAAATGATAAAAAATAATTTTAGCTCAAATGATAAAAATGTGTTGAACATGTTTTCATTATCAAATGAAATGATAGTATCTTAAGGTACGTGTGATTATGAATGTTGTTTTCAAACTGAGTTTAACACGTCCATCCGCAGTTTCAAGCCAGTGATTGAGGACTGTGTCAAACAAATGAACCAGGAGCTCGTGCAGATTAAAGGAAACGCAGGGAACAAGAGTAATGCAGCCATGGACGCAGAGACGGTCCTGCGACCCCTCATGGACCTGCTGGACAAGAAGTAAGAGAACTGCGGGATTACATTTCTTGAAACATGGTAACTAGCTGCATTTCTGTCTTTCACTCCATTCCCCTTTTTTTTTTCTCCAGCCTTATTCTGTTTGCTAAGATCTGTGAGAAGACAGTTCTCAAGCGGGTTCTGAAGGAGCTGTGGAAAATTGTCATTAACACCATTGAACGACAGATTGTTCTTCCGCCGCTCTCAGACCAGACAGTGAGTGTAACAAGTCTTTTAGCCAAACGCACACATACGATATGTCGTCTCCTCTGCAAGACACAATTCCAGGGCATCAGCTGGGTATATAAAGAGAGGTGTTGGTCTTTAAAAAGTGTTATTAAGTGGTTAAGGGATCTACAAATATGAATGCTGGTCATAAATACTAAGGAACACCAGCTGTTTTGTGTGATTGATTGATTGATTGATTGATTGATTGATTGATTGATTGATTGATTGATTGATTGATTGATTGATTGATTGATTGACTGAATTAATTTTAATTTAATATTTTAAATGTGTCAGTGTATATATATATTTATATATACACTCACCGGCCACTTTATTAGGTACCCCATGCTAGTAACGGGTTGGACCCCCTTTTGCCTTCAGAACTGCCTCAATTCTTCGTGGCATAGATTCAACAAGGTGCTGGAAGCATTCCTCAGGGAGTTTGGTCCATATTGACATGATGGCATCACACAGTTGCCGCAGATTTGTCGGCTGCACATCCATGATGCGAATCTCCCGTTCCACCACATCCCAAAGATGCTCTATTGGGTTGAGATCTGGTGACTGTGGAGGCCATTTTAGTACAGTGAACTCATTGTCATGTTCAAGAAACCAATTTGAAATGATTAGAGCTTTGTGACATGGTGGAAGTAGCCATCAGAGGATGGGTACATGGTGGCCATAAAGGGATGGACATGGTCAGAAACAATGCTCAGGTAGGCCGTGGCATTTAAACGATGCCCAATTGGCACTAAGGGGCCTAAAGTGTGCCAGGAAAACATCCCCCACACCATTACACCACCACCACCAGCCTGCACAGTGGTAACAAGGCATGATGGTTCCATGTTCTCATTCTGTTTACGCCAAATTCTGACTCTAACATCTGAATGTCTCAACAGAAATCGAGATGATGGTGAGCTCTTGCAAATTGTAGCCTCTTTTTCCTATTTGTAGTGGAGATGAGTGGTACCCGGTGGAGTCTTCTGCTGTTGTAGCCCATCCGCCTCAAGGTTGTGCGTGTTGTGGCTTCACAAATGCTTTGCTGCATACCTCGGTTGTAACGAGTGGTTATTTCAGTCACTGTTGCCCTTCTATCAGCTCGAACCAGTCTGGCCATTCTCCTCTGACCTCTGGCATCAACAAGGCATTTCCGCCCACAGAACTGCCGCTCACTGGATGTTTTTTTCTTTTTCGGACCATTCTCTGTAAACCCTAGAGATGGTTGTGCGTGAAAATCCCAGTAGATGAGCAGTTTCTGAAATACTCAGACCAGCCCTTCTGGCACCAACAATCATGCCACGTTCAAAGTCACTCAAATCACCTTTCTTCCCCATACTGATGCTCGGTTTGAACTGCAGGAGATTGTCTTGACCATGTCTACATGCCTAAATGCACTGAGTTGCCGCCATGTGATTGGCTGCTTAGAAATTAAGTGTTAACGAGCAGTTGGACAGGTGTACCTAATAAAGTGGCCGGTGAGTGTATATGTATATATACAAACACACACACATACATAAATATATATATGTATAATGTTTAATGGAGGCCTTATGTATTTTACTTTATAGCTAAAATAATTGAATCAAATATTCAGTGTAGGGCTTATATTTTTCATTTATAAAAAAAATAAATACATATATATATATATATAAAATTTGCACAATGGCCCTTATTGTTTTTGTAAATAATATTCCAGAAAGTGAGGGGAACAAACAAAACTTTCCTTCAGGAGCTTCCTGGCCATCTTCTTATAAAGCTGAATCTGCACCCAAAGACTTGACTGCCAATCACACTAAACAAATTCTGTTTCACTCGCTGAACGACATGTCTCCTGAGACAGTTAATTCCTAAAGGAATGAATTACTTTTTAACTCTTTGTTTTGTACTTTTGTTTAACAGCAAGGGGCTCAGATGATTTTCAGTGCTGCCAAGGACCTGGGTCAGCTCTCCAAGCTCAAGGTGAGGATTTTGTTTTGTAAATAAATGTAGGGGTCCCACTTTATATTACCGTAATTCCTCAAATAAAGACCGGTATTCAAATAAACGCCGGGCCTCTGATAGTGGCCGGGGGCGTGGTCAACGCGGACAAATAAAGGCCGGTCTCAAATTAAGGCCGGGGAAAAAATAGTGTACACTCAAAGACGGACGCGCTCAGCGCTTGTCATATATCACAACTATTCAGTGTTTTCAACCACATGTTTATTTTAGGTTTCAGACATTTAAATAGATATGATTTATAGCAAAACAATAAATTTATAGTTTGTAAAATACACAATGGTGTCTATGGAAGCAGCAATAACAATCCATTCAAATATATTTGGCGACGTGTTTTATTCATATCATATACACAGTGTGTAAGTAACTATAAAGTTTACTCTATTCTTCTCCCAGTTCACCGGCCACTTACTTTCATGTATTTCGGGAGAAACTGAAGAATTCACGCGCTGTAACTTAACAAATACAACAGGAATCTCCGAACTGCGGTGCCCATCTCACGTTACAGATCAAGATCATTTATAAAGGGTTTTAAACGACAAAACAAACTCACTTACACGGATTTGAGAGTCAGAATAGAAGATAGTTGATGACATGGTAAGCAAGTTTGTTAATATTTAGAAATAAAAGCGCTACATCTGTCATACAGCGCTATTTTGGCTGTGGTGAACACGTGCCAAGCATGACGCGTCACCATGGAAACTTGGCTGGCGGGCGGGCGGGGATCGCGAATTAGAAATAAAGGCCTGCCTCTAATAAAAGCCTGCTTCAAATAAAAGCCGGCTACCATCTGCAGTTCAGGTAAATAAAGGCCCCGGCCTTTATTTGAGGAATTACGGTAAGTGTATTTAACAACTATGTACTAACATTTCAATTAATCATTTGATACAATGCACTTGTGTGCATACATGTTTTTAAATTGTACTTACATGCTCCTGCATGTAATTACATCTGTAATTAATTTCTGTAATTACATCTGTAATTAATTTCTGTAATTACATCTATAATTACATTGTTGACCCTTCCCTTACTCCTTTACCCACCCTTAAACCTAGCCATACCACCAAACCTGTCCTACACTTACCCGTGTCCCACCTCAATAGCAGCGAATGTGTTTTGCAACATCAACACATTAAATACATTGTACCTAGTATTTTTTTTTTTAATGTAACTACTTTAAGACATCTACTATAAAGTATGACCAAATCAGGAAGTTTTAACTTATTTTTGAAAATTTCTTCATTTTAAAGAAATAGTTAATAAAAAATTAAAATAATGTTTATTGTTAGTTTATCGTGACTAATGCTGCCCAGTTTCAAAAATGACAAAAAGCACCATAAAAAAACATAGACTGTAAAAAAAATATGGACGTAGTGTCCGTGACGTCACCCGTAAGTTTCGGAAGAGCATTTTTGAAGCCCAAAGTGGCGGAGCCGGCCGTCACCATCTTGGCAGTGCGTCACTCCCTGATAAATGAAAATGGGCAAAGAGGCAGGATTTGCTGATGTGACGTGACGCTAACAGACAGCAGACAAATGGCTAGTAGTGACAGCAGCGACAATCCACCTGTCACTCAAGTGGCCACGCCCTTAATTATGCAACTTCAAGGCTTAATATAATTTAAACGGATATAAAAAGTTATATAAAAAAATCACCCCCATCACAGTTCTCATGAAGGGCAAAATTAGCTATATAGACCAAAACTTTTGTACCAGGCTGTAAACATATATTTTTCTGCTGTAAAGTTGGGCATTTTAACATGGGGGGCTCTATGGGATTGACTCTCTTTTGGAGCCTGTCTCTAGCAGCCAGTCGATGAATTGCAGTTTAAGTCACTTCCGTGTTGGATTCAAGAGAGAGTCCAGAATGTTGCCGCTTGGTTTGAACATGACCCCCAAAATGGGAGATACTTGGTTTAATAATCAAGCCTCTGAGTACAAAATATTTGTGTATTATATTGTAGATAGAAGCGAGGCATGTTCAATTTAAAGTGTTGTTTTCCATCCTGACAGAGGGAGGAAAGGCAAACAGGCTGCGACTGACGGAGAGTTTTATGTTTTGTCAGATTTAGAAGGCAGTGCTCCTCGAGGACACAGAGCAGAAGTAGATATCCTCCTTGAGAAATTACAGCAGGGCTTGGGGCTTTCATGTAGCTCGCGTTTTGCTACGTATGCTGTGAAAATGGTTTCCAGCTTACGATAAGGCTTTGTAGCTGACCGTCAAAAGCTTCCACCACTGCCCGCTTACATCATGACAGTTTCTCTAGAATCACGCCGGAAAACGTTCCCGGTTGCGAGAGATCTGCTGGTGTAATTAAATCCGCCCTGCTGAGGAGTTTAAGTCCAGAGAAGGATGGGCACTTTGGATCTGAGCAGGTGTCAGGCAGATGGAGGGTTTCTCGTGATTATGTCTCCACAGTCCAGTGGCGGAAACTCTCCATCTCATTCCTCCCTCTCTCTCATTTCATATGCATTGAAACATCTCTGGTCAATTGCAGCTTTACCTCAAAAAGGCTTTTTATGGCTCCTGTTCTCTGTCTTGCAGTAATTGTGTGTATAATTCAGCTGCTCTGTTTCTAAACCTAGGGCATTGCCATTGTCTATGGCTTATACAGATTAGTTTAGTATATATACATATATAGTGCCAGATTTACTAACAGCTTGCGCCAGCGCAAACCCTCTTTCGGCGTTAAAAAACTACTGCCAGGATTTACTAAAGACACGCAGTGAAAAAATAGTGCTGAAAAGGCGTGGACACAGTTATTTTTGCATTGCATATTGCACATGCATTTGTAGGAGTTTCCCTTTCAGGTGCAAAATTTATGGGAGGAGAGTATTTAAATAATAAATAAAAAGAAAGCTTTTGAAGGAACAGAAAGCTCTCAGACTTCATCAAAAAGATCTTCATTTGTGTATCGAAGATGAACGAAAGTCTTACGGGTTTGGAAACGACATGAGAGTGAGTAATTAATGACCGAATTTTCATTTTTGGGTGAACTAACCCTTTAATCTTCAAAATTAACAAAAAAAATTCATTACAGTTTGGGAATAAAATGGTTAAAGAACATACATTATTATTATTATTATTATTTTGCAGAATGTAATGAAAGAAACGGAACAAACTTGGCATTATAATTGTAGATGATTTTTTTATTAAATTTCATTCCAGTAATTTAACCGGTAATTTAAATACTAAGGTTGGCACTCGTCAATGTACTGGTGTTTGCGCCATTATTTACCGCCCAAAAAAGCACGTCTTTAACCAGACGCTACCTGGTAGATTGCGTTGGTCAGTATGGAGATTATCTGACTGCGTCTGTGTTCTGTAATTTGTGCGTCATCAGTTGATCATGCGCAGAACTTTCCACTCCCATCGGCGCTGTTTTGGAATTGCGCTCTCACGCTAATTTTGCCCTGTTTAGTAAATCTGCCCCCTAGTATAGTATGGTACAGAATCTGCATGCTATTTACTACATTTTCAATTCTACTGATAACCTTTGGCTGCTAAGGTGATTATCTGTGGTTGCTTTTATTGCATTGTGCATCAAGTGAGATTTATCTGTTTTATTAAAATCTTTATATGACAAGTTTTAAATGTGCAGTAACATCTAAAACACAATGAGTATGCATTGTGCAAAATGTGCATTCAGTATTTGTGGATTTATTGGTCAGTCTGAAAGTGTGTACTGACTTGAAAAGAGAGTAGTCAGTGGACGTACAGATCATCTTAACACCTGATCAATACACTCGGTCGAAGTGCTAAAGGTGTGACTGCTTCTTTTAAAAGGTGGCCTTAAACTGGAAGAAGTCAATGGACAGAATCAGCTCGTCCTACACACACAGATGCTTACACTGATTTGATGTGGGATTAATGTTCACTCACACACCACCCTGATATCACTCTCAGGCTTATTTGTATTAAACTTTGCACCACCATTGACCTGTGCGATTAAATGAAATTAAAGTTTAACTGGCTGACTTCTTGTCTTGCATCATGGTGAGGCCACAAAGTCTTCTGGGAGCTGTTCTCTTACGAGAGTATCTCTCGTACTGCGTAATAGCTTACGCTAGGGGAAAAACTCTTTTCCACGAGATATTGAAGCCAAAAATTATCCTTAATTTTTTATTAATGTAAAACGCTTTGCAGCAGCAAGCAGACATAGGCGAAACAGCTCGCGCGCCTATTGGTTGCTCTGCAGCAAATGCAGCAGCCTATCGAGAGAGACTCTGCGTGACGTAATGACCAATGGGGGCAATTCGCGCCCATATCGTCACGTCCCGCCAGAAGGGGCGTGGTCTCACCCTATAAATATGCTCGTTAGGCTGGTACAAGCTGATTTTTATCTCTTCAGCGACGCACACGCATCGCTGGATCCGGAGTGAGAAGCCGCGCCGTCGAAGCAAGCCTTTCAGCGGGACGAGCTCTGGAGTCGCTGGCCTCGCCGCCTTCAACTGCCGTACCTGCTGCGCTTTCCGGCGTTCTATATCCTTTTATACTCTGTGTGTATTTACTCTGTTGAGAGTGTTTGCTCGCTTACTTGACGCGACTCACACTTCTCTCACAAAAGAGCTGCGTCTTTTTAAAGATGCCTTCCTGTGGCTCGTGCCGCGCCCCGCTCAGCGATGGAGACCGGCACGTCATCTGTGTTTCCTGCCTGGGTGAGGATCACGCGGCTCTCGCGCTCGCTGACGGCGGATGCCCTCATTGCGAGCTTTTGCCTATGGTGACTCTGAGGACTCGCCTGGCATCATTCTCCGAGCCTTCACCACAGCCCGCCGTGGTGCCGCGCCGCAAGAAGCGCCGCGCCCAGCGCGCTCCCGAGCTTTCTCCAGCCCGCCAAAGCTCGCCGGTTCGCCCGCCAGCTTCGCCGGCTTCGCTCGAGTCACTCACTGACGGACAACGGCCGCCGCCTGCTGCCGCGTCCATCCACGAGTTTGACGAACCCACCGAGGCGTGTTCTCTTC